ATAAAATCATCAATTACATTATTTCCAGACGTCCAATTGATGCCCTGTAATTGTAATCTAATGCAACCTTCACAGAATCTATTAGAGTACCTTGTCAATTCACACTTGTCACATTCTTTTGGTTTGCCCCATTTATACATTGCATTGTCTAATTCAAACCCATAAATAAACCTTTCTTTACAATATCCTTTTTCATTTTCAGAAAGCACCTTGTTTTTTTTGACTAACGAAAAAAAATAACCTTTTCCACTTTCTCTATCAGACTTATTAATCACGGGATTATTATGCATTTCATTATAAATTTTCGTTACAAATTTCTTTCTTTCTAATGGCGTTGACAATAATAATTTAGCGTGTGACATAATATAAAATTTGGCTTGGTGTTTTAATGAATAGAGTGGAGGGGGGTTTTTTTTTGTGAATAACGGAAAGAAAGGTTGGCGTGCTACTATTACAGTTACTTTCTAAATATCATAGATTTTTGTATTTTGTGTTGTTTTTTATTAATTTAACACAAAGATACAACTAAATTATTTGGTTGCACGGAAATACTCTGTTGTAAGAAGGCTTGAAATAGTAAATTCAGTTCAGTTACGGATGAGATCAAAATCAAAGTAAAAGGGTAATGAGTCGTTTTTTTCTTTTTTGCTACGAGCTTGTTAAAATTGAAATTTGAATAAAAATATTTTCGTTTTTTGAAAATGATAAATGATTGTGGTATTGTTGTGTTATGTGAATTCTCTATTGCTATCTATTCGGCAATAGAAAAATTTATCTATTTTTGTTCGAAAAGTCGGGGTCGAGCAAAGCAGATACTTGACTGAAAGAAAATTGTGTTTAGCTTTAGATTTTTTTGCTCGGTGACATCGTTGTCTACCGTTAGGTTTTCGTCTTGCTCTGATCTTTTGGACCGTTCAAAACGACCAAAAACTTATGATATTGCCTTGAAGCCTTAGTGTTAGTATATTTTCGGATCATGAGACCGGATTCAAAAACACTTTTTTTATTTTGTTGTTATTATTATTATCGGTCAATTCAATGATTGATAAACAAATTTTTTTTTAACAATCAAAATTCGTAAAGGATCTTTTATTATTATTAAATTTAAATTCGTGAACAATTTCCAATTGTATGTGTAATGTTTTTTAAATAAACAAACAAACAAATTTTTTGCTCAACGAATAAAATGCCAGAATATCATGATAATCTGTCATTTCACGAAACGGTTCTGTCTAAACCTTGTTTTTCTTTGCGGGAGAATGACGTGTAACAAATAATTTTTTCGTACAACATTTTTAATTTTCCCTAATACTGACAGAAACTTTTATTGTTTAAAGAACAACTTCATCATCACCAAACTCTATTAATCGATTTATCATAATTTAACAATAAAAAATTTCAGCATTCTTTGAAGATTTAAAAGTGATAAAAATAGAATCAAAATTAAAACTTGCAAAAATATGGGGTTTTCTAACAAAAAGTAGCTTAGTTCATATCAATATTAAATTATCTTTGAGTAACAATCACTGAACTATTACGCATATTAATATCATTTTTTTGCTAGATAAACAGTGACTGATTTTTTTCACCAATTATAATCCTTATAATATAAATATATTATGCAAAATCTCAATTTTTGTCAGAGGGCATTTAAGCTACCTTTTGCTAGAGAACACATACATATCAAAACCTGTCTTATGTGCTATGTAAAGGTCATTCCAAGCACCAATATTAATCAACCTATGTTGCTTCAAACTCGGACACTAAAGACAGCTCAAGCACATCATTTACTATTACGCGTAGTTAACTTCAAAAGTCAAAAGTTCGAAAAAACATCAATTTTATGAAATGTAATAATAAAAGAATAGTTTTAATTTGTAAAAAAGATATGGCATTTTTATTTTGAAAGAAAATATACAGGAAAAAACAAGTGGTTTAATTAAGTCAAATTATAACATTTGTAAGCTTCCCATTATAATTATTCTTCTTGCATCATTGCAACATACATACAATGATATAATAATTCTTTACCCACACATTTTTACATAATTTGGGACTTTTGATAACCCTATTTTATCATTATCATTAATTGCTGCTTGTATCAAGTGTTTTACTTACGTCACGTGGTTTTTACTTTAATAAATAGTCAAAATAGCCCTGCTGAGAAACTACCTTTAGTCAATACTTTAGTTACATCAATGACCATGTCAAAAGTTTCGTCACATCATACATCATTACCCATGAATTCCTGTTATAAATCATGTGATCTTTCTAAATATGGTAATTTATATATTTGACACGGTTCTAATTTTTTTTTTTTAATATTAAAAAGAAAATTGTATAATAGGATGATTGATCTATTATATAAAAAAGTGGCAGCCTTATCAATGTTGGTGATTTTTGGAATGAAGACAAAATCAACACTATTTCTTTTGTTTGTTCTTCACATTATCAAATTAATTTATTTAAATAAACCACCATATCTTTATAAAATGAAAAAATTAATAGTTGTACATTTTCAGTCACTTCACATGCTCTATATATTCCGAAACCTTTTTTGTCTAATAGAATCAAAATCAATTAGATAAAAGGTAAAAAGAACTGTGAAAACAGAATGGAATTGCAGAAAAAAAATGCTCATACACAAATAAAAGAAAGTAAAGAGGAAATAAACATTATTTCTTCAATCTTATCCGATTTAAAAGAGTTGTACTTGTTCATGTAATGTTTGTAAATTGAGCCATATGTGTTTTGGTTTGGAGATGAAAGTTTACTCGTTCGTTTATTAAATGGTTGTTGAAGAGGAGGAGCTAAAATAATGGGATTGGGAGAAATTCTCGAGTTATAACGTACAATTCAGTGAAGTATGTCGGATGTGGTTCAGTATAACTATAGTTGAGGTCATAGGCTATTGTTTTAAAAATTTACACAATATCTAACACGTGATTTATCAAAGTTAATTCCATCAAACATAGTTAATTTTCCTTGGTTTAAACTTTTAGAATTATACAAATTAAGTTTGTTATAATCTAATTCTAAACCATCATTATCTTGTTCAAAAAATTTGTGATCAGTTTCAAAAACAGCAACAGCATTTTTAATTGGAATATAAGGTAATGTTAGAACATTTTCTTCAATTTCTTCCTCAGCTGGAGTAAGTGATGAGATTATTTGTTCATCAGTTACCATTCCAACACTTACATCTGCATTATCTATTGAAATAATTCTGCTGCTGTTAGAGGTGAATTAATTGGTAAATTATTAATTGAATTTGAACAGCATTTTCTTGGAGAATTTTATTTTATTTATTATCATTACAATTGAAACTTTAAAGAGTATCTTGGATGGAAGCTATAAAATAAAATATGGTGGATGAGCATTTGCAGATGAATGTCTTGTAATAGTAAACAAAAAGATCAAAATAAAAAATACAAATGAATATGTTCTTTGTAATAAAAAAAGGGTAAAAAAAATTAAATATATTGTAGAAAAGGGAAAATGATGTATTGTAAAATACAAACTTGACCATTTTTAGTATAACGCGACTAGTAATAATATATATAAAAATTTTCAATAAATGTTCGTTATATGGAATAACGAGGTTTATTATATAAATTCGTTATAACAAAATTTTTTATTTAATAAAAAAAAAATAGTGACAAAAATCCGTTATAACGAGGTTTGACTGTATTGTAATAATTTCTAATTTATTTAAAATTTTCACGCACTGTGATCCCTAATAAAGTTTAACATACTATCCCAGCACACCTTTGCCATTTTTGCAAGCCTGGACTTGTCTTCTTCAATATGTTGAATCAATGAAACTCCAACCGCCTTTGGTCCGTACAATATCTCAGAAAATAAAAATTTGTATCTATATTTCTTCTCTTGGTTATAAAAGGACCATGCATAATCTGGAAATCTTAGAGGACCTCCAGGTTGATAATTTCGAGTTTTTGTCGATTCAGACACTGATCCATCACTAAAAAAATCATTATATTCGTTATTTTAAATTATTTATTCTTTTCATTTTATTATTATTATTATTATTATTATTATTATTATTATTATTATTATTATTATTATTATTATTATTACATACCTTAACTTGATAACTTTTTTGCTGGAATCAAATGACAAAAACCTTATTATTGGAGAGATCATGTCATTTCTCCAGGTTTTTTCACTTACTTTCATTTCTTCTACTTGGTAATTGATTGAATTCCATATATTTTGCATAGAAAGAAGGAGCAATATAAGTTCGTAATAATACTTATGATTTGTTCCAACCGGTATTTGAGTATTTGGATCATTCATAAATGCAATAACAAACCGATTTTGTATAGAATCTAATTGTTCGATTTTGAGTTTAACAGGTTGAAGTAAATTATCAAGTTTTTTTGCTTTTAAACGCTCATACAGTCTCTTATTTTTATTCGCAAGGTCTTTGTATAAAAGTATACCGCTTGCTATATAGTTGTCTTCTTTCAATTCATCATTTAACATCTCATCACTTATTTCGTAAACTAATTTGTGTATATGTTCATTGTATTCTTTGAGCTTATTTAAAATAAGAATAAGTCGATTTTTCTTTAAAAAAGTCAATAAAGAATTATAAATTATATTCATATTAATTACGTCTATAGTTTTTCTTCTTATTACTTTAAGATCTAATTTGTTAGATTCATTATCATCACTGATACTACCATAAAACATTGGATTCCTAGGTCTAAATAACAAATCCTTCTAATAATCACCATTGACAATTTTATTTTGGTTTAAAAAAAAACAAATAATAAATATTTTCATCCATAATAACATTTTTTTAAAAAAAATGCTTACATTCAATGATGAATTTTTTTGCAAGTTGTTAATTGGAGTTTTCCTTGGTTTCTTATTTCACTATAAAACTTGTGAAAATCAATTTTATATTATAAATCAAAAAATTGATCAAATAATCAATAAAATAGAACCAAGAAAATGCCAATTCAAAAATAAATCAGACAAACTTACTAGTGATAAACAATATTCACAAGAAATAGAAATCTATGAAAGGATTTCAAACAATTATTTGACAAAACAACTGGATTGAATCCCAATTTTTCATTTGGTGCAATGGCCATGGAAATTTGTGAATTATTTGGTGAGAAAAAAGTTGCCGCTTCTATTGTTAAAAATTTCTATCAACAAAAAACAAACCCTAGAAGCAAAATGATAGAAGCAATTCAACAGTGGGTTGAGAAAGAAAAGATGAAAGAGGTAGAGAGTGAAGATGAAAAAGATAATGAAAACAACAAAGATATGAATATTAACAATGATATTATTGATAATAATATTAGTAGTAGTAATAGTGAAAGTTGGATTTTTGTCAGAGTGCTCAAAGAATAGGTAATACTCACAATGACTTTTGGTCCAAGTATTTTCCTTCCATGCAAGTCTGACAATTTTTTAACTTATATTTTTATATAGAGGTAATTCTATATTATCACTTAATATTAAATATAACAAATGGGGGATTTTAATAATCACATTACTAAATTTCGATCCCTGAAATTCTCATCAGCATGCCCCATATATTCAACCAAATTTGGTACACAGTGACTAACCTTTTGAAAAACTCTTTTTAACCTCATAAGGTGCTGTATATCTAAATATGCTGTCTCGATTGCCACGGTTAAACCTGATTCGTATAATTGTGACGAAATATTTCACATGACATGAAATATCCATGTAAAACGAATGGTGTCAACACTATTACAAATGAATTGGTAAATGGACACATGCATCCAAGAAAAAAAGGTTGAAATCACCATTACGTTGTTGACCAATTGTATACAACTGGGGAAGTCCCATAATGTAAATCTTTTTCAATAACCAACACAGGCAATAAGATGCTGGGCGAAACAAGTTTAGGCAACCGAAACTAGTTTTTCCCACCATCTTTAACAGGAAATGATGAAAAAAATGCATATATTGTAAAATGACAAAGTCCATGATTTGTAAAGTGATGTGCACGAGAATCCAACAATGCTTGTGTAAAATAGCATCTACCATGCGCTATTTTATGATCACTTGGTCTTGCTGCTTGTAGACTTTTTTTTCCTGTCATGCACCATCCCCAATTGCCAATGTGACGTGATATTTTAATTTTTGTCTTATGTAAAATTATTGCTTTTGAACAGAAACTCTCCGCTCTACAACAAATCACTGCATCACATAATAACAACATTAAAGTTACACTATCAACCACAGCAACAGGATGTGATCTTTGTATATTGGTCTTTGAAATATAAGGAAATGAACTTTGAAATGTAGAAAGTGCATTTAGTTTAAAAGATATGAAATATGCCAAAACAGTAAATATCGAGAGTTCCGTATTTCGCTAAAAAAAATTCAAATTGTAAAAATATAAGATCAAAATTTTTCAAGATAGATTGATATACTTTATTTCTAAAAATCTTCAAATTGTATATTTTGACACACTCACTACCCGGAAGAAAATATATAGACGCACTTTTTTCGAAAACATCATTTTGTAGCTTAAGGTTTTTGCCAAAGAATTTTAATAAAAGTGGCAAAAGGATTTAAATTTTGCATATCAACATATTAAAGCTGCCATTTCAAAGATTAAAGTTTTCCAAAGGATTTTTATTAAATGCGGAGAGTAGGTCAGACCTTTATCCCTTTTATTCTAGTGATAAAGCTGCAGCCTTTCGGAAATTGTCTGCGTGTGGTGATTAAAAGTGCAAAAATTCAACGTGTCAAAATTTCAGATATGTATGCTATTTTGAAGCGAGGAAAAAAACTTGGTCAAAAGCTTTTAATTACTATATATTCATATTTATATTTAGTGGGTAATATAAGAGCCTAATTTATAAATTAGGTTTGTCTCGTGTAACGATTTTTTGAGTGAAAAAATATTCCTTATCATCATCGATTCCTATCAGTAATAATCAATATATATATTTGTAATAATTAACGGATTGTTAAGGTAAATTGTTGTTTGATTTAATTGATTCTGAATTTGTTTTCGATATGATGTGCAGGATTCATTTAATGTGTTGATTGACACCTTACAGATTTAAAATATGAACTAAGAACAAAAGCGAAGAACCTTTAAATTAATGTACATTGTAATATTTTACCAGGATTAGTTTCATTATATTATACAACCAAGGCAAATTTGTGAATAGAGGTAAAATAGCAAGAGTATTAGAATTTGGATTATGAGGAAGGAGGATGAGGAACAGGATTACGAGATCAAGAAGTCAAGGATATAAAGAAAACATACAAGAACCAGTGGAAGAAGTGGAAGTGGAAATCCATGTGGTGATGAGAATCAAGTGTGAATGGTAATTAAAAATTATTTTGATCAAAAATCCAATACCATCAACTCCAAAGTGATTCTAAATAATTAAACTGCTAGAATAGAACAATAATAACAATGGTGCAACAATATAGCATGAAAAAGAAATTTATTATTATAATTATAAATATGATGATGATGATGATAATAATAATAATATGTTGGAGAAGGGAATGTAAAATATTACAAGATAGAATTAATGATTTAATGAATAATAATAATATAATAAACTACTTTTTTTTCCTCTGCATACTGTATTGCATTCTATTGTATTTGTAATCGATTCTTTTAACTCCAACCAGCACATTTACTTGCAATGCCTGAACCCAATAACCATACACTTTCCCAATATAGGATTAACTGTGAAACTGATTTTTTACCGTTTTTGATGAAATCTTTATCGATTCCATAACGAAAGTCGCCATTATGATGATTTCTTTTTAATATTTTTATCCTACCACTATAATAGCCTTCATCTTTAGAGTAAAGGTTGTCAGCATCATAATTCCCACACTCATGGTTGTCATTCATTAAATCTTCCAACTTTATTTTCCATAATGATGATTTTTTCTTTACTTGCTTTTCTTCTTCCTGTTGTGGTTGTTTCTCAATAAAAACTGAGGGAATACGCCTTCGTAATGGAACTTTTCTACGAATGGCCATTGCCACATACTTCAATTCAAAGATATCCATATATGTCTTTGTATCTAGGAAATTATTAGATGAGGTGAAATGAAATGTGATGAAATGTAATATTAAAGAAAGATTAATGAGATGACAATAGTTGAAAAGTTTTTTTTCTCCAGTTGATTTTTTGATATAATTATAATATAAATAAGAAACAAATGAATGAATGAAATAATGAATGAATAAATGAATTGGTTTGTTGATAAGAAAGTTTATTGTTTTCCTAGAACAGAGGAAGTGATAGATAGTCGCACACTTAACAACTCCTGTTTATTATTATTGTTATTGGTGGTTTTAAGCTGATAATTATTAAATTTTAAAAAATATTTTTTTGTTAGTTATTGTTATATATATTAATATTAATTATATTATTAACCCTTACCCTATTTTATATTAAATTTTATTTAATGTGTAATGTTTTACAATAAATATTTTTTTTATTGTTTTTTTAGATTTATTTGTAATAATCAAAATATTATTGTCAAATAAGATATAGTAATGGTGATAAAATATTTTCATAATCTAGGTTATACAACTTTTTGATGTCAATAAAATAAAATTTAATGACTTTTCAAGTTTTTTTCCTTTTTGATATAAATTAATTTATAATTTCTAATTCCACCTGACCCCATTGTCATCCAAATTAGCATTAGTATTAGTTAGCCATTAACCATCATCGCTATAATAACTCAAAAAATATTTCGCCAACAAGCAAAAATTCGCAATGTCAATATTCTCGAAGTTCGGGATAGAAACGTGTCACTTTTATTCGTAGTGACGAGAAAGATATTAATATTAAAGACGAAACCATTGATGATCATGATGGTTTCACACATTATAACAATTGTATCGTAGAATCAAATCAAATATTGTTCAAATTTTGGTGAATTCAAAAGAAACAAACTTCTTCTTCGGATACATTATTATTATCATCAAAGCGTAAATTCTAGCAACAGTTCCGTTAGCAAAACAAACTCTTTCAAATAAATCTAGCCAAAGATAAAGGAAAGAATCTTTTGGTTCCAATTAATTTAGCATTATTGATGAAAGAAGCAATCCTCACAATGATAATTATTATTATCAATAACAAATTGGAGCCGTCAACTATCTTCACACAAAAACAAGATGAATGTCTCCAAGATATAAGAACCAAAAAAAAAGGCGATAGCAACATAACGTCTGGTGATGACAAACGATCATTTAATTAAAGCAGAAGATTTATACAAGTAATGTCCAAAAAGCTGATTCAGAAACATTACTATCAACCAATCGATAACGAATCGACAAAGAACTTGAAAACAGGACGAATGTTCTAATGCTTTTGATGCTAAATATGGTATTAGACACTGTAGATATCTCGTCACACTCGATCTATTTTATTACTTAACAATGAAGGATCAGTAGAATCAAATATACTTTTTCAATTTCTGCTCTTGACGCATCTAATACTTTAGTACAAGATTTATAATTATTTTGAGTTTATTTTAATATTAATTAAATTCTAAAAACAAAAAAATCAAAGAGAACAAAATTATTAAACTATTTATTTAGTCATCATCGTCTTTAATTCTTTGGAAATTTTTTTGCAAGTTTCTTGAGTTGTTTCACACAATTTTTTCTGTCTCTTGATTTGGGTTTAGTGCATTTCTTGACCATTTTTTTGTCTTTAGCACTCAATTTAGTAGTATCAATCTTTTTGATCAAAGCTTCCGTTTCACTGTCACTTTTAGGAGGGTCTGCAGCTTTACTTGACTTGGCAGGAATAAGTGTTTTTCCATTTTGCACAAATGTTGGAATTTCTGAACTTTTGGGGGTTGGTGATTCGAATGGGGGTAAATTCTTGGAGTTTGGTGAAGGATCTTGATTTTGGGTTAGACCCTTCAACTCTTTGTTTCTTGGTTCTCGGTCACATTTTGCAGATGGTTGTCCATCATTTGGAGTGTTTCTTTCTGCTTGTCTCAATTGTTGAGCAATCGTAATCATTTTAGCTTGTGTTTTTGCATCACCTTCTTTACCAATTATATTAGCCATATCAACAAAATTGTCACAGACGTCTTGTTGATCACATTTGGGTGCCGCGGCTAATAAAGAACGAACAAAGGCACCAGTCAAATTACCCGTGTAAGCGCTTTTATCACCAGCAGGAGGTAAGGCTCTCATCTCGGCTAAAACACCATCCTGTAGATTTTGTTGACCAAATCTTGCATCAACATTGACAATTAAAGAAAAGGCCAATACGGCAGCGCCAATAGCTTTAGATAAATTCTTCATGTTTTTTAATATTTTTTTTTTAAAGAAAAAAGAGAGTGTGTATATATAGTATGTATATTCAATATACTTTTGATGATTTTGTGCAAATTATTTTGTATACTTCCTTCGAGGAAGATAAAGAGTAAAAAAGAAAGTAGGAAAGAAATAAAAGATAAAAAGTATTTTTTTTTTTTGGAGAAGTTGATTGTTGATTATCTGGGGAAAATAAAGCTGATATTTATAATCAATTTTTCTTCCTATATTTAATAATAATCATTCTCTAGCTTCAAATTGAAAATATCACTTCATTCATTCAATTGGTGACGATGACGATCGGTTCATTCATAATTTCTGGTTAATACATGATGAAACAATTTTAGCATGTTAATTTGAAATCACCGCAGTAGATAATATTCTAATTTGCATTTCATGCACCACACAACCGATTAATATAAGGGTGAAACATTAGACCTGATTACAAATATTGTCTTTATATATTAATACTAAGTAAAATGGATTTTTTGTCCAAGGAGGTTATATGTTATTTCTTTTTTAATAAATAAAATACATCTCTCAAGTAAGAATGATATTAAGAACGAACCAATTTTGGAAAATTTCCTTAGATACAATTTGTAAAAGCATTTAATTAATATTAAAAATATTAAATTTATTACTATTACTATGGTGCAAGCTACTTAGTCGCTGAACTTTTTTATTGATTTAGACCTTTATTAAATTTTTACGGGTTCTTTAAAATCATTAAAAACAAAATAACAATAGTAATGTGATCGCATCAATCTAACCATTAAAATCATTGACCTTTTAAATACTATTAATGAATAATAATAAAACATAAAATTCCGCCAACAATTATTGGTCAAGTTTTATGTATGTGCTTTCTCAGCTTTAAAGCTACACGACAGATAAATTTTTTGATTTGCCAGCAACCAAGTAACTTGCACTAGGACCATGGACAATAATTGAGGTCGCATTCTCATGAGGAAATCATAATATTATTCCCATAAGTTTTAACATATAATTTTATTTATACTAAATGCAATATCATGGGCAAAGATCTGGACGGGCTGGGCTAATACTGAAAGTTTTCGGGTCGGGTTCGGTTTAAAAATTTTGACCCGAAACCAAAGCTTTTTAGATCGTAGGTCAAAATTATTAAAAATCCCAAAATTTACATTGCACCGCCTATCATAATTTTATACAGCTGACACAAGATGCAATTCGTGATGCAAGTCTCAATTTATGGGTAAACTCCTAAAAACTATCAAACCTATGAACAAAGTTTATGATAAATAAAACGGATTTATCAAAGTGCCGTCCGATTGTACGCCGGACATGTGATCTATATTAATATAGTCTCTTTCGTTTTATTATTTTATTATATTTATTAATTACATTAACTATAAAATAATGATCTAATTCGTTTTATAATAATAAACATTTTTATAATTTAATAATAAAACAATCAATTCTTTTTTTTTTTTGCTCAATAAAACACTTTTTGTGGTCGGAAATTAAACAGTAGGGTTTAATATTAATTGACCGCTTGGTTTTCGCCCGCAGTTTAGGTTTCGCCAACTTCGCCGCAAAATTAAGCCTAAACTAGGGACCACTAGCCTTGTGTCTTAATTATGTATTGCGTCATTAATTGTTTTGAGTTACGTCTTGCGTCATTGATTGTCTTGCGTCATGAATTGCATTCTACATCTCTTGCATCACGAATTGTGTTTTGTGTTACGCATAACACCAATTGCAGCTTTTAAACCAATATAACTGTTTCGCCTTTTTATTTAATTAATAAAATTTAGGTGAATAAAATTCATCTAAATTTAATCCGGAATCAACCTGAATCCGACCCGTTCGGTGATTTAACCATAATTATGTAAATTCGCACCAGAAAAAATTTCCGATGATACTATGTAAACGTAGTAGAACATGGCCTCGACTATAATTTTTCATGGTTTTTTTTTTCACGATTAATAAATAGAGCCATCATTTGCCCAATACGCAAGTGCTCCTTTTTGCAATACTCGATTTAGCAGATCAATATAACAGATTCTACCAGTGTGTATAAAAAAATATTATTATCTGCAATCGCAAAATTAAGAGGTAAAGAGTTTGTAGCGAATAGAAATTGGAAGAATACAGCAAATACAAAACGATACAATAAAGAAAGTTGTCGCATTCAGAAATCCCCAGATCAAACTTATTCTTCAGTTCCCTGAGGCAAATCACCAAATATCACCCCCAAGGTATCCATCCACCCATCCACCTTTTCTAATTTACTTTTTTCAGTAAAATCTTTTTGTGTTCGGTTTTCAAAGAGTAAGATAAGAGATACATCTCTCAAACAATATAAAACTTTCTTAATTTGGAATTCCAGGTTTCTAATAGCTTCTCCTCGTTTATAATCACTGTACAATTTTTCATTTATTCATGAATAAAAATATTTTACGTTAAACTGACCAAAATCAAATTATCAATGCATGATTTAACCTCATGCCACCACAACAATCAACATCACAAAATAACCAATAATAATAATTAATGAAAATAATTATAATAATAAAAGTAATTAAGATAGTAACAAATAAAACAATAATAATATTAAAATAGTAATAATTAAGTAGTAATAATAATCAAGATAGTAAAAAAAATCAGTGCAGTCATTACAAGCATGGTGTGGTATTTTGAGAAAATCTATCAACAACTTTGTTTATTGGGATAAGCTCTACAAAGTTATTGGTTGGTTTCTCCAGAAAACATCTCTATGCTAGTTGTTTCAAGTTGCAGTACTTTATAAATTTGAAACATATCTAATGGAAGCCTTATGATCCTAATGATGTGATTGTCAAATTAAAAAGTTACCACACCATATTGTTATTTGTCCAAACGCATTTGATATTTTGGTCAAGTCATGAAATTTTGGGAAACATTAAGGCATTTCAAAATTTAATAATTTCAGATTTGGCTAACATTTTAGTATAGATGTCATAAATGAATTTCCTACATTGTAAGAATATCTGTCACAATCAAAAAAACTGGCCATTATTTACATGGGTGCTGTTGCAACCATTTTTATGTAATATAACTATGGCTGCAGCCAGTAGGTATCCTTACTACATTAATTATGGTAATGGTTATGACAACTTTATTAGTATCCATTATATATATCAAGGGATGATGAACTTTGAACAAGAAGAAACTTTAAAACACTTTAAAAAAAGAAAGTGCCTAATGCAATCTTAGTAAAGTCCTTGGCCCTCCGCCTCACTCTGGAATTTTGATTGCATAAAACCTTTTTCAGACCAGAGATCAAGGTTGTTCGTTCATTTTTTTGACCTTTGACAAATGATTGGAATAATTTGATCCCTGAAATTTCATTGTGACATAATGTTCACATTTGCTCATGATTTGATTAGTTTAAACAGTAAATATATATATATATATAATAATACCATCCTCCTCTAATAAAACTGTCTTAAAAAAATATAATAATAAAGACACGGTCTTTATGGCAAATAAAAACCTCGCCCTGCTCTTTGTTAAATCATCATTATTATTATTATGTCACATTGAGCTGGTGTTGGCCCAATTACGTAACATTGTGGATTACGTAACATTGGAAAAAAAAACAACAATAATAATATTAATTAACAGATAAATAATATTATTATTCCAATTCATTCCTTATATAAAATTTCTTTAAAGCTTCAAAAATCAAGTTACAAATCTACAAATTTTTTCTTTGGAACATTTCATAATCACAAAGCAAAAAAAAATGGAAAATCTTGCTGCATATCTGTTTGGCAATGTGAATGAAGAAGGTCAACTGGAAGATTCTGGTTTAGATGAAGTTTGTATTAGTCATACATCTACATGTTATGACGATCCTAGAAAGCTTATTGGAAAAGCCCCATAAATATATATAATTTATTTTTAATATTTTTCTTAAACAGGAGGTTCGTGAGTCATTACAAAAAGTTGCAGTTGGGGATGTTGTAAATCAAATATTTTCAGATCAAACATTAGGATTTGATGAGCAACAAGTTTCAACAAAAAAAAATAAACCAACTCTTCAGATTGCTCCACTACCACCTCCACCCTTACTGTTCACAATAGAACCAAAAACTTTGTATCCTGCATTTGAAAAAGACAAAGTACTAAAATTCTCTGAACTTTTTGCAACAAAATGCACTCGAAAAAAATTACGCGACATTAAAAAATATGGTATTGGTTAATAATAATGATAGTAATACTTGGCATATATATATTTGTGTGTTTATTTATATGTGTTTAATCATTGTAGTTGAGCCTGTAAGTTTAGAATTTGATATAGACGAAAGACAATTAGTTGAATCATCATCATCCAAATTATTTGAAGATTTGATAGCCGATGGATCTAATACGACAGAAGAAGAATTAGCAAAGTATTTTCCATCGTTCTCTGATGATGATGAATCAATGGAATATGATAATAACATAGATAATAATGATTCTGATTCATATGATGTAGGATGTTCCTCTTTTTTATAATTTATGATAATATAATAATGATGGTATAATATGATATAATATGACTTATATTTATAGGTCATAATGGATGAAGGAGATCAACAGCAAGAAGAAAAACAATTAAAATGGCAAATGCCTGTAGAATCAGATTCATTTTTTCCTTTTATGATGGATACTTGGGAAGACAAGATTATATGGGATGATGAAGAAGAGGACGAAGAGGATGAATATGGTAGTAATGATGAATATAAAAGGTAATAATAATAATATAATTATTATAATACATAATTGATGATGACAATGTATAATTGATGTTAATAATAATAATAATTGTTTTCTAATAATTATATTGCTATTCAATAGTCAAAACCATTTGATGATCCCGGTATTATTATTATTGCTGTTGTTATTGTTATCAAAGAGAAATCAACCATTCAATTAATTAACGATTCAAATTTTATTATTTATTGACATCAACAACTGCTACGGTAAAAGAATACAGGGTCAATCATTGGTTATAGGAATTTAGAATTAGAAAGTGGAGAATGGATCAATAATATATTGTGGGATAATCGTAATATAGACAATGATGCATCACCATTATATTCTCGATTAATATTAGACATGAATGATCCAAATATACTTTTTGAACAGCCAGTTCAACCAAATAACCAACCACAACATCAACAAAAACCTTCATTAATATCTGATAACACTCAAAAATTATTATTTAATTTTGATTCGCAAAGTATGATTTATTATTTATATATTTTTAATAAATGTAAGCAAACAAATATAAAGGTTTTATTATAATTGGATTTTGTTTTAAAAAATAAATAAATAAAGTATTTAGGAAAAATAGTAGGAAATTCAGTAAAAATTTTATTGAGGTAAATTAGAAATTAATGAATTAATGAATTATTTATTTTTTTTTTATGAGCAAACAATTGAAATTTTCAATTATTTATAGGGTGAAGATAAAATAATTAAAATTCACAAGTACAAAACTTCTGATGATAATAAAGAAAATTATTTGCAATATAATGTTGAAAATGTTGAAAGAAGAAATTGTAGAAAGAGACTTAATTTTGGTCAAATGTTTATAAGACATTCTTTACCGGCGCTTAAATTACATCCACAATATGTGAGTTAATAATAATAACATTAATCTTAAAATCAGAACAAATTCAATGACACACCTATTTATTTATAATAATTATTTTTCAACAGTTTAAAACTAAGTTTACAAAATCTGAAATTCGAGCATTGCATCGTCCAACAATTCAAGTTCCAGTCGGAGAAGTAGTTCATTTTAGGAAAATTAGACGCCATCACCGAAAAAATAAAAGAAAATTACGTTCTAAACATGAAAAAATGAAAAGACCTAAAGATTTATCACTAAAAGACAACGAAGAATTTGTTTTACTTGAATATTCTGTATGTGTTATTTATAACCATCCTCAATATATATATATTGAAAGAAAAATAATCATAATTAATAAAATACCACTATTATTGTTATTATTGTTCTATTATTTATACTATTTTATATATAATAGGAAGAATATCCACCAATATTATCAAATATTGGAATGGGAAGTTTGCTTTTAAATTATTACAGAAAGATTGATTCGAATGATACTTATATTCCAGCGGTAATTATAAACTTAATTGATTAATTTGGTATACATGATTATGACTACTCTATTAATAAAATATAATGATGATGATAAATGATAGCTTGATATTGGTTCACCTGTAATTCTTGATGTCATGGATGAATCACCGTTTATGAATTTTGGGAATGTTGAACGTGGTCAAGTCATCACAACCTTATATAATAATTTATTTCGAGCTCCACTATTTAGGCATGATCCAAAAGATTCGGATTTTTTAGTCCTCAGGTTTTTTTATTTAAAAATAATTTTAATAATTTAAATATTATTTAATTTTAAATATATATATGTATTTATATATTTATTAATTATCATCATTGTCTTCTTTAATTATTTTCCTTTAAAAAAAAAATAGAACTACTTTCAAAAACAAGTCAAAATACTATATACGTGAAATTAAGAATATTTTTGTGGTGGGTCAAACATTTCCTATGCAAGAAGTTCCATCTCCACCATCAAGAAAAGCAAAAGCTACAATAGCAGCTCGAATACAAGCTACAGCATTACGACTTATGAAAAGAAATAGGTACCATATAGTAACACATGATCAACTGTTAAAAAGATTCCCAGATTATAAAGAGGACACAATTCGTTCACGTATGAAGGTTTGTATTATATATTGTTTTTTGGAGAGAAATTAACAGTCGAATAATGATAATAATAAATATGTATGTATATATTTGTATCTATAAAGGAGGTAGCAGAGTTGGTTCGTAAAAAAGGTACTGATAATAATATACAAATTTGGAAATTGAAACCTTCACGTGGCGTCCCAAGTGAAAAAGAAATAAGGAAAATCCTTAGTCCAGAAATGGTACATACACACACACACACACATATATATAATTTTGTGAAATCTTTAAATCTAAAAAAATTTTATCATCATCATCATTATTATTATTATTAAGATTTGTTTACAAGAAAGCTGGCTACTTGGTAAACGACATTTGGAAGATGCAGGATATAAATTAGGTGATGATGATGATGACGATGTTCAAGACGAAAGTCAACGTGCTCTTAAGGAATCCAAATTGGCTGTGGAAGAACAATTAGCACCATGGATTACGACAAGGAATTTTCTAAATGCCACACAAGTATGATTATCATTAATTGTTAATTTATTGAAAAAAAAAATTTTTATTTATTTATAAAATTAAAAAAATATTTTTAATGCATAGTCAAACGCCATGTTAAAATTACATGGAGAAGGTGATCCAACCGGAAAAGGCGAAGGTTTCAGTTTCATCAGAATTTCAATGAAGGATATATTTTTAAAGGCTGGAGAATCTGCTAAAGATAAGCTTGGTAATTAAAGATGCTTAATTTATTTATTAATTCAATCATGTATTTATTTTGATTTTTTTTATAGCCGAAATAGAAAATAAGCCAAAGAGTGGCCATAAATATACTGTTTTAGATCAATGGAAAAGATATTATCAAGAGGTATTTTAATATTAATGTTTATTTTTAATTTTAATTTATTTTAAATAAATAGTATATATATCGGGTTTTTAGATTGGTCGAATTTGGAATGCACAGTTTTCATCACTTAGTAAACGAGAAGATTCGACATCTTTTATCGATCAAAATAGATATAATAATGATTTATCTGATATGTTTGTTGATCAACAAGATATTAATAATGAAGATAATGAAGATAATGAAGATAATGAAGATAATGAAGATAATCAGGTAAAAAATTTTTTCCCTTTTTATTTTAATAAAAAAGTAATTAAAATTAAAAAATCTTTTTTCTCCTTAATAGGTTGATAGTGATGTGGATATGGAAAATGTGGAAATGAATGATTTAATGGAATCTGCAATGCCAGATCAAACACAATCACCAGAATCAATGATGGACTATGATGATATAACATCTGTAGATGGTAGTATAACTTCACGTACCAATTATGATTGTAGTTCTCATCGAAACAGAGCATTGGTGATAAATCGTTCGGTATGTTCATCTATATCTATTTTCTATATCATTTATATATCTATTCATGCATCTTTAAAGAAAATTTTTGAGTGTAGATAAGGTCAGATAATGGTGAAAAAAGGTGGACAAAAGAATATATAACCGATCCTTCAGTAATTAATGCGTATATTCGTCAAAGACAAGTTATTGAAGAACAAACATTAAAGTAAAGAACAAAAAAATCAAAATTTAGTCATCCTATTTTTTTCAATAATTATGATGACAATAATAATAATAATGGAATTTTTTTATAGTACTGAAACATTGGAGCCAACCAATGATGAAGAAAGAAACGAACGATTAAAAAAGAGGTAAATCATTAATTACAATTTTTTAAAAAAAATTTAATACTTATATTGTTATAATATAATTATATAATTAGAATTCAAGATCAGTTGGCTAGATTAAAACGAAATCAAGAGAGACGCCAGCAACGTCTGGCTGTTCGTGAGGCTAAAAAAGCTGCCAAATTATCTGCTGCTGGTAACGTTACTTCTGCATCATCTATCGTCAAAGAAAAGAAGACTGAAACAACAGTGGCAAGCATTTACAATTATAATTACATTTATCATTATTATTATCGCTTGTTTACTTACTGTTTGTTATTAATTGATTACCTTTTTCTTAGAGACGATGTGGAAATTGTGGAGCTTTAGGTCATATGAAAACAAACAAGAAATGTCCCTTATATAATAGTAATAATATTCCGTCGGAATCTTCTACAACCACTGTACCAACTACCAATAGAATTATTATAAAAATTAATAAAAATACTACATGAAAAAAAAATAATTATTATAATTACTATTAGTATTATAGTAAAATAATTTTATATTATTAAAAAATCTGTAATTCATTAATAAATATGTTTGCATGTTAAAAAAAAAAAAATTGTATTTTTATTATTCTTTTTTATATAAATAGAGAAAAGAATTTTGACGACAACAGCAGGGTTTGAACCTGCGCTCCCAATGGGAATCAGATTTCAAGTCTGACGCCTTAACCACTCGGCCATGTTGTCATTTTGAGGAATTATCCACTAAAATTTTATTTTATTTTATTACATATTTAATATAGACTTATAGACTTGCATATTTGTATATAGCATGGCGGACATTCTCAAATTGGTAATGATTTTCATCAATATTTTGATTTTATCACGAAATTTGATTGGCCCGAATAAATTACACAAAAGTTAAGGAAATTCTTGCTAGCCCAATTATAAAAAAATATACAAGTTTTTATCAAATAGATACTGGAAGCAAATGTTTATTCACGTTATCTAATAACCATTAATTTAACAATAATTATAGAACAACCATTATCCATGAAATAGATAAATAGATATATACATATTATACAAATTTATTATTATCCACGAAATAGATGTATATTATATAAATTATTAATTTAACAATAATTGTTTGTTTCTTTCCTATTTATCTAATAATAAATAAATAAATAAATATGTAAATAAAGATATCATACAAAACTATTAATTTAGAATTATAGAACAACTACCTTGTTTCTTTTGTGTGTCCTCAAGTTCCCCTCAAAAAACTTTCAATTTCTTCACTCCCTTCTCATAATCCATTCTTATTCTTGTCTAATTTCTTCTATAGTCGCCATTCTTAAAAGATTTAAAAATTTAAAAATTAAAAAAAAAATTTCTTTTTTTATTGTTACAATTAATTATTTCTATGCATGAATAAGTCAAAACTTGTTCACAAGCAAAAGCTTTTAAATAGTTCTTTTATTAAAAGAAAAGTAGAAAAGGTTATCCTGAAAATATAAGAACTTTATATATGTTCATTAAAAACAATTTTATGGTTGAACGATTGAAGTCTATTTACTAAGCATCAATGTATGAAATAGTGAAACTATCAAAGCCTGCGATAAGTAAAACAAATCAAAGAATAAGTTCGAATGGTTAAGTTTCGCAACTGTGTAAAAGTCAAAAAGTTTGTCATAATAATAAATCGAAACCACACTTGACATTTGATTTTTGATTTAGTTACAACATATAACATTTCAATTTAGTTTTGGGGACCAACACTAGTCGATATATATTCTGACTTCAAGATATACCATGTAATGTCCAATCATATAAAAATCGTTGTTTTTCACTGATATGGCACCACCCCTTTAATAGATTATTAATCGAATCTCTTAACCGATAATTTGATCTTATCCGACAAGCTTTTCTTTCTAGAAGCGGCGGGGCAACAAAGAGGGCAAGGCCACCAGATATAACCTTAGCCTTCTATATAAAGTTACTGATTTGAAATTCTGCAATTGGTTGCAACTTCTTGGTTACTTTATTTTCGGTGGTGTTTCGAATATTCATGAAGAATTAATGTAAAACGTAAAAATAACGAAAAAATTTTTTATCCACAGTTTGTATAATAATTTTACATAATAAAATCTTTATTAAATTTATATCAAAAGTATCAAAAAAATATAAATATTTCATTCATTTATTCAATATTTTGTCAGATTTCCTTTTGATTCAATTACAACTTGAACCCTTTGAGGAATGCTGTCTACTAATTTTTGCAAATAATCAATATTTGTCTTAAATAAGAAATCAATTCATTTGTATTTTTTGGGGAGCGATAGTAGTTTGATCTTAAATGCTTTTATTATACGAGTTACTTGTGACTGAGAATGATAGAGTGCACCAGCAATGTCACAAATGCTTTCATCTGCTTCCCAACATCCAATCATTCAAAGCCTGTTAATTGAGTTGAGACATAATGTTTTAATTGAAATAACAAATTGAAAGTTCAATCTTTTTTTTTTTTTTAAAAAAAATCCAGTTTTGGTTAGATATTTCGGCCGCAATTGCCCTTTAAAGTTTGTTCACGCATAATGATAATCGTCTTGTATAAAAAATTCATTCCGATTTTTTTTACGTTTTGTATTAATTCTCCATGAATATTCGATCAATAATTATGAACATGTATATATATATATTTGAGAACAACATTTCTAAGTTCCCAAAGATGTGTTAAAACATTGTATCTTAAAAGCTACTTTTTCGATACGAGTATTTGTATTACCCGTTTATTCGATCGATACTTTTTGTAGGGGAGCGATCTACACAATCTTTTTACGGAAAATACAATGTAAAATAATTTAACTTATAATTATATAATAAACAAATTTTTTTTTTAAAGATGCCTCACAATCCTAATCAAGGTCCTTGCTTAGTTACTGGTTGTGAAAATTCAGGCCCTTACAGAAACTTTAATAAAACTGTTTATACAAAATCAATTAATTCTGGAACTTTTTCTAATTTTGATTATTTGATAATTAATGAATCACAGTTATGTTCTCCTCATTATTTGCAAGTATGTGAACCTGCTAAGGGAAAAAAAATGCATTGCTTTTGAAAACAAAAATATCAATGAACCAAATAATATTTTCACCATTAAGAATTTATTAGACAATTTAAATAATCAAAATTGATGCTTCATTGAATGATATTTATGTTAATATTAAATATTTAGAAACATTATTTAGAATCTGAACTTTTGCTTTTAGATGGAAAAGAAAAATTATAATAAGATATTGGCATTTATTTCAGATTACATATATTAGAAAGAAAGTCAACATCCTTTTGCAAATGTATTGGAGAATCATCTTGTTAATTTCAATGAATATTGTGTTGAAAATTTTCACAGCAGGTTATGTGCTAATATTAATGTAAATCAAAATACAGAATCAGTTATTAACCATGCATTTGTAATTGGTAAGTTCAAATATATATATGTATGTATGTATATTTGTGAGGATTTTATTAATCAAACATGAACAATATTACCAAAGGATTTGAAAAGAGTAATTAATATGTGTAAAATCTTAAAAACGTCTCCCTATAATGACTACATATAATAAATAAATTTATTGATCTTGAGATGTATTATTTCAAAAATAATAAAAACAATAAATATTTTAATATTAATATCAATATTAACAAAACAAATACCTTGCTAATGTTTTTGAATAATATGATAAAAAACAAATACTCATTAAAAGTCACTGAAATTAATGTATACCAATATTATATATTCTTTTAACTATAAACTTTGAAATGATGGAAGGGTTTTTACGTCACATTAAGGTCAATTGAAAAGTACTTTAAAATTACCATTACACTATATAAAAAAGATCGACATTTTAAGTCACATTCGTGATAATTACGAAATTCCACTATGCTTTGTAGGGTGTGTATAACTTACTATTACTATTACCATCCATCATCCATCTTGAATAAAAAAATTTGACGTGTAGAAAGGAAATATTGATGTCATTTTCAGAACTTCTTCTGATATTCTGATACAATATTTTTAAATAGCTTATGTTTGAGATACTTGCATAATAAATGAAAATAAACAGCACTTGCATATATTAAATTTTAGCATTAAATTTTTTAAATCACCAGAAGAATTGAAGATTCCAAATGAGGCATATCAAAAGTTAGTGTTCCTTAATCGTTTGGTGCAATTATTTTTTTTGAATTGATATCATTTTTGGGTAAACTAATATATAGTTGATGGTTTTTGCTGTCCTCCACTGTATATTGCAGGGCATCTATTCACATAACTTTGTGGGGTCAAAAAAAAAACAAATCATGAGAATTAAAGCCAAGACAATAAAATTAATAAAATTTAAAAACATCGTCGGTACTGTGACGCAAAAGTTTTTGTCCTGCTGTACGTTTAGACATTTCAATTCTTTATGGTCACATCATCCTCCCGTTTAGCAAGTGCGTATACACATAATTTTTAATTTTTTTTTTTTTTACTTATCAATACCTTGGATTTCATAAAAACTCTTAAAAACAAATTCTTTTTGTTATATAATGGTGATGATAAATTTATTTTATTATATTAAAAAATCATGTTAAATTTCACACTCTCATATCTATGTATGGTTCAAATTTATCTAATTTGGTAGAATGGAATATGGTCTCACATGAAATTCTTTATGATTTTTAAAGAAATTGTTCATCATGATCGTCCAGCAGATCTAAATCACCAAAAATGATATAAAATAGTAAGGACTTAAAGACCAGGTTTTTCCGCTATTTTTTAATACAAATAAACGAAAACATTTCATGTGATTTTTTTAATGGCATAATATATTCAACTAAATATGATATCTCCATATTTTAAAGAAAAGAATAGAAAAGAATGATGAACCTATGTCACTTATAAAGTCTTTGATAAATGAATAAAACTTCCTTTTAATCTTTCAACTATTAAACAATTCATCTAAATACCGTTTGTCGAATTTTACAAATCTTCCTCAATCTATTAATTCCAATAAAGTTACTATTAACTATACCAGACAAAATATACTTCATCGGTAGCAATATTAACATTATGATATTGTTCTGATTTAATAAGCAAATTCAATAACATTAGTTGAAATTATTATATTTTTTCTTTGTAATGGGGTAAATTAGAAAACATCCACAAATACCTTAGAAACAACTATATATCATATAGATAATATATCAACTAGAGTGGTAAATAAAAATTATATTTTACCCGAGGTGAGTTAAATGAGGCAAGCTTTTAACAATATTCCAATTAAAATAATGAAAAGTTTGATATTATTAGAATTATTTATTTTATTATATCTTAAATCTAAAGTAAAAGTATAAACAACTGAACAATAAATAATTAAATAAATATATAATTTCTATTCTTTTTGTATTCAAATAAAATCTAAAAATTAAAATAAATATTAATTTTTTTGAAATTAAAAAATTATATATTTGCCTATTAATATACTGGCATCGTTACTGTTGCTAACTACCACTAGTAGTGCTAATAATAATAATAAATGCATTTATTAAATAAAATTAGTATTTATTAAAATAATAATTCAAGCATCGAGAAAAAATGATACATGTTTTTACCGTTTGCAGACAAGATTGCTTAGAACCGCCAAATAACAATACTGAAATTGCCCAAGTGTTTGAACCATTATAACACGTTGTTCTCTAAAATATCCAACTAAGTCTTGTATAAGATCAGTATTATTATCATTGTTATTGCTAGTATTATTCTCTAATAATGCCAGTGTTGAATCAATCGTACAAAAAGTACCAGTTCTGCCACATCCAGCGCTACAATGTAAAACAACTGGCCCAATTATATTATCATTGTTAATAATATTATTAATATTGTTATTGTTATTTACTAATAGATGTGCTTCTTCATTTATGTATTTCTTTTGTAAATCATCAGTTTTTCGAATTAGATTAAGTATATTTTCTGGTGAATCAGGCACTCCATGATCGGGCCATCCAACAAAATGTAATTGAGTAACACGTCTAATAAAATTTTTATTATTAATAGTACGATTATAAATAAAATTATTGTTATTATCATCACCCCCAAAACCACTATTAACACTATAACTATTAATATTATTATTAAGAAGATCAATATCAGAGTAAAAATAATCATCAATCTTTTCAATTCTAATAGTTCTAATAACACAAGTGGTGCTAGGATCCAAATCCTCCTTTTCTAATTCAACCTTCAACCCTGAATTTTTATAAATGACTGGACTCCCCAAGTCAGGCCAATACTTGTCACATTTGATAATATTTTTTTCTTGTTCCTTGGTCAACATCACAATAACTTTCGAGTTCTGTTCCCAAATCATCAACCAAAAATCTTCCAATGTATTTTTCATTGGTCCTTGAGTTACTATATACTTTTTAACATCATATGGTGCTCTGATATAACTTGCATTAATATAATCATCAGTTCTGCCCGGACGTTTACGTATCAACTTCACTCTGTTATAGTTGAATGGGAGCACATTACTGTATCGGTTGTACTTTGAAACATTTGGATCAAGTGCCACACTCATACTATACTTGTTGACTTGATCTTCTGCTTTACGTTGCCTTTCTTGGTCATTCATATGTAATTGTTTAAATTTGTTTGTCAAAGTTGCTTCATCTAGGTTTTGAGCATCAGAAAGAAAAGGAGGGATTACAACAGTAGTTTGACTGTCATTATTGCTGGAATCATTGTTCAAGTTATTTGCATTAGAATTTGACATTCTGAAAAGTTTTTTAGTTGGCAAAAAAGGTTTATTTTGCGTATTGCAATTAATTACATATTATATTATTATTATGGGTCAATTTTTTTACACAAATTCATCCAAAATAGAAATATCGGTAGATTGTAGATTTAAGAGTGCGTGCGCAACATGCACATCTACCGGATTATTATTATTGAATAATTCTATTTTAAATAATTTTTAATTATTGATAAATTGATTTTGTAAACAGTAGTTCTATTTCTTGTTCAGTTTTTGAAATTCGGTCTATGAAATCATTAATAGACTAATAAATTACTCTTGAACTTCTTGTTGTTATTATTTGTTGTTAATGATGATGATAGTGAAGATGATGATTCATTGCTATTACCATGATTACTATTATTTGTATTAAGAAAAGATTTTAAAACTTTAGCTGGTATTAATTAACGTCTTCTTAAATGTCCTTCATATCTTCCATTTGATTCATAATTATAATATTTACATCTTTGCACGTTTTTACTTGTAATCGGACAAGTTTCCAAATGCAGTCATATATTTTTAGTGGTCATTATGAAGGAATAAATTTCTTTGTACATTTAATTTTTATTTAGAAATATTCATATACTTCCTATATAATTTTTTTTGTTACATGTTTCCCAAAATTACATGCATATGCATCATGCGCATTACATCTCTAGGAAATTGGTCGTGGCAGATGTTTGATTGGTTATGAATGCTCCACGCAATGCTCAGAGATAAAGCAATGCATGACCAAATTGGAAATGTAAACATTTCTAATTCTGATATTATTGGTTAGCCCAACCACGTTAGACAATATGACATAATGGCCAAAATATCACAAAATTGAGGTGGTTGCCTAACATAGGAAGTTAACCGATAAGTGTAAAAATCGGCTAGGGCCCCGCTGCACATTACATAATAATCACAAAGATGTCAACAAAATCCTGAACAGGCTTCTTCAAATTGTGACGATGATGGAATTCAAAAATAAAAGACTTGGTGATGAAAGCAAAATAAATAAGAAATTATTTGTAAAGAAAGCAATATTTGAGTAAGTGTTATTAAAATAAAAGTTGCGTTTGCCTTCAAAAAAGATGACGATGATGATTGCGATTGTGAATCAGCTGCTAACGTTTCTATTAATAATAACAAAAACATTTGTAAACAGAAAAATGTTTATAATTTCTGATACGGATTTGATTTTTTTAGCATTAGCATAGATTATCTTTTCAATTATTTGGAATTTTCCTAGAATCATTATTTGTAAAAACATTTTCAGACTTATTAAAGAATATTGCCACGTGGGATTCAATATAAACTAACTGAAGCAACTTTGATAATTGATTACCTTGGTCTCGTATTTAACAAGACAATGCATTATTTCAATTTTATGTCAAATCACATAATAACATCAATAGAATTGATTATCGTTAGATGAAAAACAACAAATAGATTTAGAATTAAAGAGATACGTATTTCTACTAATTATATTTTGGATAATAAAGATGGTGCAAAACGTTGGCTTTGGAGAAACTACTAATCCTGCTAGACTAATTCTGATTTAAAATTCTTGGGATTGTTACCGTCCAGTAGTTAACGCAAAACAGTATTGAGACCAACAAGTTTTGGTCTGGTCAATTTTCCATTAATTAAAATATTAAATATTAAATATGGTTAAAATGATACATCAATGGATCCAATGAACCGGTATCATGGCCAACTCTGATGCAAAGGATATAATTGACTTTGAAATTAAGAATAGTTTTTATTGTATTATAATTAGAATTTTTGAGCTCTATAATCACAATTAGAAATTATTTGAATCTTACGCAAATTATTTTGAAATTTATTATCACACAATACATTCTCAAACTCCAATTCATAGCAAAAAGCAAACGATTGATCCTTGTATAGAACCCTGTACAGTATCCACAGATTCAAGCTGTTGGGGGCACTTTAGCGCCTCTTCCACAGAAAGCAGTGAAGCAATCCAAATAGAATACTTGGTTAAATCTTTGAATAACATATCAACTCGGGAGTCTAGCATTCCAAACAGAAAACAATTATTCAAGCTGTGAGACACTTTGGTGTCTCTTTCGTCAAAGACAGTAAGGCAATTCGAACAGAAAACAAATGATTCAAGTTGTTGGGGAACATATCGACTCGACGACCAAAGAGAGTCTAGCATACCAAACAAGAACGCAAATTTTCTCAATCTATATAGGTTAAATAAAATTTTCAAATTGAACCTTCTGTCAATAAATATAAAAATCGCACACATATAAATCAAACATTTAAGCAAATTGCCAAGTGGACTATCAATGTTCAATGATAACAAGGACGCATGAGGAAATCGAGTACGTAACAGTTTCATATCCAGAACCATGGTCACCATAAAGATAAATTTATGTTGTAAATAATGTTACTGACGCTGTAAACATTTATATGTCTAAAATAAATCAATGTCCAACAGTTTTCAGATCCCACAACATTCCATGCTACTTAAATTAAACTTTAATAAAAATAATAATAACCTTCTTTGTATACAATTTTATTGACTTTTTTAATGATATGAGCCGGCTTAGCCGGCTAAATTAATTAGATGATGATAATAATAATAATAAAATTTTCAACATTCATTTTTACGTCTGAAATTTTAGTGCAGAATTCAATGGCATAGATACTTAGTCGGGGTGGATCCATCTGCATTACTTAGAATGATAAAAACCTAAACAAAAAAAAACAACCAATCAACTTTCGAGATTCGCGTGCGATACTGAAAATTGCCTAAATTCTAGTACAAGGAAGGAAAAAGAAAATATGATTTATAAAAAATCACACAACAAACAATATTGATTCTATGAACTAGAACCTTCAACAGTGAAAATACTACAGTTAGGCAGAAATTGAATAACAAAAAAAAAATGTTTTACCCCCTCACCAGTAAGTAATCATCAGTGTCATTATTAGTAACAAATGATCTTATGCCTTTCTCTTGGCATTCCCTAAATTTAGGATACTGATAGATAATGAATTGGATTAAATTTGTCTGTGGCTTGATTTAATTTTAACAAAATTTTTTAAAAAATCACATCATATTGGAGAAATTGACTAAGAAAAAGATTGGTGGTTTAAAAATTTTGGACGGATTAGCACATATGAATGCTTGGCATCAGTTTTACATTTGAAACTTTGCTTTTGAAGAGGTAATTAATTATTTCAAATTATCAATAATTTAGTAAAAGTGATATTATGAATTAAGAGGACTCTATGATGATCAATATGGTGGTTAAGCCAATAAAAGGATTAATAATAAAGCTTGAAGGTGAATTTTATTTTAACTTGGTCAAACTTTTCAGCTTCTGTAAATAAGTTTTCACTTGAATACCACCATCAAAATTTTTGTGATCATTGTATTAAACAAGAGATTTTGGCCAATGAATATTTATTGCCTACTTTTTACATCTGGGTTTCAAAGGTAAATAATCATAAGTAAAAAATAAGAAATGACCTTTTTTTTTTGAATATTTTATATTTACCTTTTTGAAAACAGGTGTAGGTATTAAATTTGGGAATTTCATCATATTGCTAAAATTGCTGCAAATATTTGGGATCATATCTATTCATAAAAATCATACACAAAAGATATGACTTCTGTTCAATTAAATCAAAGTTCAAAGAAAAAAGTAAATTGGGAATAAAAGAAAAAATTACTTCAAAGTTGGTAAAGCTTTAATGGGTCAATTGATAAATTATAGAAAATCATTCAGCCATCATCATTAACATAAATTAAAGTATACCAAATGATCACTCAAATAGTAAATAAAATGGAATGGGGAATAAATTTTACATATATTCATTAGGCTCTAATGTATAACCTAACATTTTCGTTGTGAGATCTTTACCTTTCTCTGATCTATTATTGTTTTTTTAATTAATTGTTTCATTTCTAATTCATTAATTTATTTTTCTGTGGATTAATATCCAAAAATACAAATTAATTAAAACAGAACAGTCAATCTCACCCATTTGAAGGGAATATAATTTATTTATTACTTACCATTGGTTCTTTTTTTAATAGTGGTAGGTGAACACAGTCAAAGTTTTAGCCAGAATCTTTAATCAAATATTAATCTTGATATTTAAACTAGAACTAAAGCTTGGACTAATGGCTTGCAAACATTCTTTTGATATTATTTATTTGTGTATTTCTTGTCTGATTGATTTTTGGCTTCTCTTTTCTCCAAGTCTATTGGACTTTTTTTTTTTAAAAAATTTATTATTAAATATGCCATTGGAAGAATTGGAAGTCATCAATACTATTGTCTAATCAAAAGTTAATCAAAAGTGATGACAAAGATGAAGTTGTTTCTATGATTAGTATATATAAGTTTACCAACACATAAAATCATTTTGTATGCATTTTAAGAATTGAAAGATATTATTTTTCTTGTATAACTTTATGTCATTTGCTTTTTACACTATCTTCATTATCCACTAAATTGATATTAACACAATTACCAACACAAATAGTCCAATTTTGATTGAAGATCATGTTTGTTTTAGTTGCATCCAAAAGTTCACATACAGCCTTATCAATAACCTTATGCATGTTGATGTTTCTCCCAAATCATCAAATGATCTATCAAAATAATCCAAGAACTCACTCATTCAGAACTAAATGATTTCTAACTTGTGGCTTTTTATTTGTTTATGTGGTTCTTCTGTGTCTAATCTTTCATAGCAGCCAATGCAAACAACATATGTATTGCACTTATTTTGTTTGCCTAATGCTTTAATATATTTTGTTAGACAATTAATTTTGATGAAATACTTAAATGTTCCGGTTCTGACTAAATGAAAACAAGTGATGGGTAATTTTTCGAGTTTAAAGAAGGGAAGAAAGTTGAACTTAATATTAATTATTTTTAATAGAATCTTTCCTTTCGCATTTCCCCCAATTCCATTACCCATGTAGATTTTTTACATATCAACTTTCACGTGCTTTCCAAAAAAATTGGTTAGTATTTGTATTAGTAAAATCCATGGATAAAAAACTTTTATGCAATCCGTAATTATTATGTAATGTAATCAGCCAATAGTAATAGTAAGAGTGTTGTTTACATTATTTGGTGTAACTTTAGATCAAACGATCTGATCCAGGAAAAAAATTAAGGGTGTAACTTTTTGGAACTAATATTAAATAACTTAGAAGTACAGTCATACCTCTTTTATATCCCCCCTTTTGTTTTGGAAATTTTATGGGATATAACTAAAGTGGGATATAACTCAAGCAGTCAACCATTTCACGTGACATTTAATTTAATAATAAAATTTTTTTATTCAATATCAATATTCATAAATTCTGTCAACAAGGATTGACGTTTTGCTTTATCTACAGAACTATTTAAACGTTTTATCAATTCATTAACATATCTAACATCTTTTTCTGTAGCAAATTCTTGTTGTTCTAAGAATTTTTTTGTAATCTCAAGTACTTTTTTTCCTTCTTCCATAGAAATAATTGGCTCTTCTTCACTCATTTCTTCTTCTTCTTCTTCCATTTCAACATCTTCAGGTTGCCAAACACCTTCAGAAATAAGAATATCTTCAATAATATTTTCGTCAGTAGGTAATTCAGTTGTTGTAATGTCTGAATCAACATTAACGAATTCTTCAGCAGTCATTGCATGATCAATATTTACTTCTCTAAGACCAGAGATTAATCCAAGGATATCATTTGATGTAGGATCATCTGTAATTTCTACTGTTTTATTTGGTGGTAAGATTTTTGTTTTTTTCCAACAATTTTTTATTGTTTCCTCTTTGATTGCATCCCAAGCTTCTCCAACAATATCAATTGCTTGTTTAATATTTATTTTGTTAATTCTATTTTCTTCTTCCAAATCTTTAATCCATTTTGATACTAGTTTATTCCGATAGTTGACTTTAAAATTATGAATGATCCCAGCATCACAAGGCTGAATATGTGATGTAGTATTGGGTGGAAGGTATATTACATGTAAATTTTTAAGACCAAGATGTGAGCCATCAGTATGAGCAGGACAATTATCAATTAACAAAATCGATTTTTTCTTTAGTTGGGAATCAAACCATTTCAACCAATCATTCCATAACTCCATTGTCATCCATGCATTTGTACTATTGGAATATTTAACAGGTAATGTCTCAATATTAATATGATTGAAGCATCTTGGTTTTTGTGATTTACCAATAACAAAGGGTTTAATTTTATTTTTTCCACTTGCATTACAGCAAAAAAGAATCGTGATTCTTTCCTTATCTTTTTTGCATCCCTTTGCTTGGTCATCTTTTGTTGCAAGTGTTTGATCTGGTGCTAACCGAAAAAATAATCCTGTTTCATCTGCATTATATATGTCATCTAGTTCATATTCAGTCAACAATATATGACACCTTGCTCTTCCTTCTTCAACATTTTCAAGATTGGCAGATTGGCTTTCACCAGTAATGTTTTTACTACTGATTCCATATCTATTTTGAAAATTTTCTAACCATCCTCTTGATGCTTCAAATTCAGGAAATTGTGCACCTCTATTCTTCGCCTCATTGTAAAAATACAAGGCTTTTGTTTTCAGCAATTCTTGAGAAACAGGTATATTTTGGCTACGTAATCCTTGGAACCACTTATACAATGCATCTTCTAACACTGGAAACCGACCTGGTTGAATCCTAGTTTTTTTCAATTCACTTGTTTTAGCACTGGAGTAAACATTCAAAAGGTCTTCTTTTTTTCTAATGATATTACTGATTGTGGAGCGATCAACATTGTATTCTCTTGCAAGTGTTTCATCACTGATACTAGTATTAGCTTTTTTTCTAATAATGGTTATTTTATCTTCTAGGGTAAGTGGAGTTCTTTGCTTTCTTTTTTTATTATCCATTATTTTCAATGGGTTTATTAATTGGTCAATTTAGTTTATTTGAGTAAAATGTTTGAAATTAGGAAGTTTTATAAATGGAATTTAAATTTATTCAATTATTAAGATAAAAGGATGTGTACATGTTATGCTTAAGTAAAACCCAAGTTCTTTTATACATGTAAAGAAGATACTTTGCCACAACTGCAAAAAAATAGTATAATTTTCTTTATTGTTAAACGCCATTAAAAAAAAAAAAAAAAAAAACAAAATAATTTCTTTGTTGTTGAGGAAATCAATCAAGTCGCTACTACACAAAAACAGTAATTTTCTTTGTTGTTAAAAAAAAATAAACAAAATTTCTGATTAATTCTGATTAATTGTCAAAGTCGCCACTAAAAAAACAAAATTTTCTTTATTGTTAAAGAAATTAGCCAAGTCGCCACTAAAAAAACAAAATTTTCTTTATTGTTAAAGAAATCAGCCAAATCACCACTAAAAAAAAACAAAAATAATTTCTTTATTGTTAAAAAAAATAAATGAAGTTCTGCTTAAAAAAAAAAGAATAATTCTGATTAATTTTTTTATTGTCAAAGAAGTTAGCCAAGTTGTCACTAAAAAAACAAAATAATTTCTTTATTGTTAACGAAGCAAAAATTTTGTTAACTATTTAAAATAATTTGTTGGTTACACTTGTATATCATGTACAAATAAGGTTAAAATGGGGATATAACGTTTCAAAAAATTTGGGGATAGGGATATAACTCAGTTGGGATATAAGTGAGGTAAAGTTTATATCAAAATAATATAGGGAAATCCGTCATGGCCTATCAGTGGGATTTAATCAAGGATGGGATATAAACAAGGGGAGATATAAAAGAGGTATGACTGTATGTCATTTGCATTGCTATTATATAGTAAATATAATAAGATTCCGTTTCATGATGGTATATTTGTCTTGCATGATCAATATTAACATTAAACAATTATAGTGTCAAAGCAACGAAAGTTCTCACACGCATGGAATAAACTGAAGATCTTGAACATCTTGAATATTTAAAATATTACAATCATTCTCATCTTCCTTACGTATATAAGGCTGATCAGTGACCTGGCTCTCCAAGGACAATGATGATGCAGTTAAATTTCAGGGGGAGTGCGTGGCTCTGGGATTTATGAATCGCATTGTTATCAAGGGGGATGTTAGAGCCTCCCGCTTGTTTGAAGTCACCCAACATGTGAGGGGTCCCACCTGTGGAAAAATTCCATAGGGACGAGACGTGTCAAGACACATATTACATGTTTGTAGAAGGAAACTTTTATTAAATCTGACACCTAAATCACTATTATCAGGGTTGGTGTTGGATACAGATATGATCCTGCACCGGTGGATCCAAATCCTGAGGATCAACAGCAACATCACAAACAACTACAGCTTTCATTCGAGCAACTCCAACTCCACCATCTCAATCACCAATTCAAAATAGACACAGATATTATCCTGCACCAGTAGATCCAAATCCCGAGGATCAACAGCAACATCACAAACAACTACAGCTTTCATTCGAGCAACTCCAACCCACCATCTCAATCACCAACTCAAAATAATAACCAACCAATCCTACAAAATTCATCACCAACTCAACCGCCATCGCCTGATTTACCACCATCAAGAACAATAAACCGGATGTTGCCCAATGCCAACCCTGCTGATGATCAAAATCAGATTTGCTCTTTTTTTAAAGGAACGATTTTAAGAAATTTTTCGACTGGTAATTGGGAATTGGAAATTGGGAAGAATCTCATCCTTTACTCATCAGTCATTTTCAAAATCAGTTAATCAGTTCTTCAAATTTCATCTCTGCATGACCTTGGTATTCATTACTCGGGCAATGCAATTTATTTACTACTCCATTGTAAAGAGGAATATATTCAAATAATAAGAACATATAATCATCATGAATATTATATACAGCAATTAGAGACAAATACATTCAAGGAAAGGATTAAATAACAACAGAAAAGATAAGTAATATTTTATTCAATGATTTTTTTAATTGTATAATTTGTAAAAAAAGATTCACAAAGTTTAATTTGTATCTATTCATCGATAAGGGTTTGGGAACTAACGCTCCTAATGCTAATTCGGCTGAATGGGTTCATCAATTCAAAATTCTGTAAAACTAAAGCTTATATATACAATATAATTTAAAAACGGTTCATATTTCATTTTTCTCCCGTCAATTTATCTTTAACTCATTCAATCTCTCAGACTTCCCCTTCAACTTTTCATACTCCTTGTTTGTTCGTTCAAGTTCTTTTTATATCTTCAATAGCAGACGTGTTTTTGTAAGGTAAATAAAAAAATTAGCAAAGTGTAAAAAATTTATTAGATTTAATTGGATTGTAATTGTCAATTTTTTTCCTTTTCCTTCTGGGATTTTGTTTTTCATTAGTAGATAATTTTTTTTTATTGTAATTCCTTTTCTTTCGCCAAGTAATTTGTAGATTTCCACCATCATTTTACTAAAGGGAAATCTGAATACCATTCAAACAATTGCTTGAAATTCTTCAATTTCTTCTGAATATTTTTTATTGCTAGAGGTTGGTTTGATTTATCCTTGGAATTTGATTTTCCTTAGCTCTATTTTATTGATTATTTTTGATTTTAGTAACGCTTTGTCTGGTTTTGTTACAAGGTGACCAGTTGGATATTTTCCATAACGATTATGAAGTACAAATTATCATTTACAAATTAAAATATGTATGTCTCAAATCTATTCCCCAAAAGGAAAAGTATCAACTGCAAAACTAGTTTATCATAAAGCAGGTTGTAATTTCCAAATTGGTAAATGAGCTTCTTATTCCAGCTGAAGTTGTTTTCGAGTTGGATGTTTTCACTTACCTCTTAATATTAATATTAGCATATATATCTGATAAAATAGAAACAATTAAAGGCGAACAATTTGCTACAACAAATTACATATAATGGCATCTTTTGTTTTTAAATTATTATATAAATAAATAATTTTTATTATAACATGTTACTTGTTGATTTATACATAATTTTTTATATTATATAAATCATCATCATTACTGCCATTATTCCATTATAGTCATTATTTTTTATAAAACCAACTACCCTTTTCTCTATATTTATCATCCAAGTGATATTTATTATCAATTAATTTTTCTAAACTAAGAAACAATTGATCATCATCATGCCATTCAAAATATTGAAGATCGGATTTAATTCCATTCTTAACTTTATCACGTTGTTTCTGTTCAATATCACCCTAACAAAATAGCAAAAAAATTATCATTGTTATTATTATTTATGATATATAATAAATATAATTTTTTCCCTTACTTACTTTTAATTTTGAAGCAGTAGCAAAATCACCTTCATTAATAGCTTTAGCTACATAATTCCACAACCTCCTACTTTCTAAATCACCTTGTTCATCTATTGGGGTTACAATTGGAGTCGCCCTTTTAGAATTTTCAACATCAAAAAATGTTACCTTTTCTTTTGTGTCCCCTTTCTCTAAAGTAGATAGACCTGCCCATGTACCTGTTATTACATGTAATGATTCTTTGGATCCGTTACGACGCACTACCCCATTAAAACTATGTTTTTCACCTGATATCCATCCTTTCCCACTAAACTCAATAACAACATTATAGTTTTCTGATTGTATTACACTTGTTCCACTATACACATGTATATAGTAAAATGTATAAATGTGGCGAGTGTATAAGTATAATTGATTATAACTAAGTGGTTTGGTTATTTTTATTTTTATCTCACTTTGTAAATATAAGAATATATATTTATTACCTTATTTCTACATATGGAGACCCTCTCCATAATCCAAGAATTTGTAAAGATGGAAGAGTTATCAAATAATGTTCAGGATGATCTCTTAGGCGAATCAGTATATGTCCAACTTGTATTACATCTATACGTGCTGCTGTAGGCCTAAAGTTAGTTTTTTGTCCAGCTTTTTTATTTAATAGTCAAAATATTAAGTGTTTAGAATAATGTACTTTTCATTCATATATATATATATACACACATATACTACATACTATGACCGCTTGCGAATACTCCTGCTTTTTTATTTTCTAAATAAAAGGCTGAAACAGGTGGATGATGACTAACTTGTTCTGAAAACAAACTAGTTTCGCCACATCCATCTATATCATTCCATCTTGCAAAGAATTGTTCGCCTTGTTTATTATCATCATCATTAAATAGGATTAGAATTAGAATTAGAACTAGAATTAAAGTCGAAATCTCAATGGGGAAAATATAACAATGAAAATATTACCTTACCAAGTATAGGGTTAAATGGTTTTTTCTCAATTTTTTCTTTGTCTTTACGTGAAGCAAATGATCCGTACAATGTACTTACATACCATTTGAAAACATTAATAATTCTGTCAACCTCTTTACTTGGTTTAGAAATATTAGCAAAAACTTCTGGATAATCTCCCCAATATTGTCTATACATTCATCAATGCATATACATATATTATTAATGTGACGGAAATTATTTTATGATTTTATTTATTACATAATGATAAAAAGCTCTTCCTACCCGTATTCTAGAGTGGAAACTCCAGATAATAAGAAACTTGGACATGTCAAACTATAAATATCTCCGGTAAATGTTGATAGAGTCTTTAGAAATCCACTAAGTTCAGTTTTTTTGCTCTCAGAGGTTATAATATCTGTTACAATCTCTCCATTATTAGAATTATTATTACTCATATTGTAAATTTATAATTTATACAAAGAATTTTTTTTTAAAAATATTTTTTACTTTCTATTTATATACTTTTTTTTCATTACACTAACTCATTTTGTCAAAATACTTCTATAAATATATGTAACATTAATTGCATTGGTTTTAACTACATTTAGCGCTGAGCACGATCTTTCTTTCAGAATTTATAACTAAATATGGAATTGAAATTTAATAGAGTATTGGCCAAGAACTTCTTTTGATTGACTAATTTGATTTTCACATATCAATATGTGACATATATAAATTATTTTTTTTGTGATTATCTGGTTTATTTTGAGTTCGTACGTATATTTGATCAAAATGAATTCAATTCATTCAATTGACAAATATAAATTCATTCATTGTTTTAAAAATTCAGGGTGTGCTAACCAAATATAGAAAATATCAGCAACAAACTAATCTCCATATTTGGTTAACACTCATGCACCCTGAATTTTCATCATTGCTTGTAATTTTCATATAGATATTATATGGGGTATGCTGCAACAAAACCAGACAAAGTGAACATTAGTATTACCAAGAATTTCAGGGATCAATATTGTTTTTAACATCATAATTGTATTCAATTGCATTACTAATGTGATATTTGTCTAGACAAAAATTATGAAGCTGATTTACATCATATCTACTATGGAACCCAAAAATTACAGCACCATTAGAAGTATTTTGAAGAACAAAGTAAAAAATTGCTCCTACATTTTCAAAATAAATGACACTCGGCTTATCTAAGAAAAGAAAGGATTACCTATGAAATGTATCAAGAAGAAAGAAAAACAATAATGTTATTTTTCTTTCTAACCCCAACATTTTATGTTTAATTTTTTATTATTGTTGTTTTAAATAATAAATAATAAATAATGATTCTCTTTTATTAACTTTACTTGTGCTATTTGTATTGTTTATATCTATGTTTCTATCTCTTGTTATAAAAAGAAAATATTAATTCTTTAAATTTATTGTTTTCATCACCTACATTTTCAGAATTACTAATATTCAGTGATGTACATGGGACATTCTTGGACATCTGCGGACAGTGAGTGCCCAAAACAAAACGTGGAAAACATAATTCTATATTATGACAACCTGCTTTGGGCTATTGATTAAAAGTGTTCAGAATTGATTTTTACATATAGCTGTGTTTTTTTAGGATAGATTTCTAAGCTGAACAAGAATTCGGACATCTGTGGACGCAGATGCAGACAGTCAAAAAAGTCCAAGGACATATAAAATGTACAACACTGTTACTAATATTACTTGATGAAAAAAAATAATAATACATAACCATAAATTTGTAATAGTAATAGTTTAAACAGTAATTTTCTAAATTAATGAGTATGTGTCACCGATTAAATTTTGGGAGAGCGTATTTTTAATTGGTGATAATAATTATTTTTGTTTTGTGTGGATCAGAATGAATAGGTTATCAACGAATTGATTTTGTTATTAGCGAATAATTTCGTTTAAAGAAGATAATAGTTTAAATAAAATATTTATTATTTTATTTATTTAGTTTTTCTTAGTCGAAACTAATTAACTTGTGAGAAGGTTACTTTACAAGTACATTGAATTCAAGCTCCTTATATACAATTCAATTAATTAGTAATTCTAATATTTCAAAATTG